ATCTAGATACGTAAATAAATTTAAATCAAACGAACTTGTATCGTTTGTAGCAAACTTTAATTCTTCGCAAATTTTTACTAATCATGAAGAATATTTGCTAGTTCAATATCTGCTCAAATGCGCTGAAAATCACAAAAACATTTCAGCAGCTTGGGAAAAAAATAGAGCAGTAACGCGTGATTTGCTAAGGACAGATTCCACCGTTGTGTTAAACGAAGTTTAAAATGACATTTTTACATTAACAATGTCATTTTAATCTCTGTTTAACACAACGGTGGAATCGGCCCTAAGAGGTTTTATGTCAAAACATGATAACTTATCACTTAGGACACCAGACGCCGCGAGTGTAGGACGTGCTACTGCATTTAATAAACATACCGTGCAGTTATTTTTTGACAATTTAAAGACCATCATGACAAGGGAACAGATTACACCTGATTGCATATATAATTCAGATGAAAGGGGAGTTACAACAGCACATAAGCCTCAAAAAATAATTGCAAAGATAGGGCAGAAGCAGGTGTCAAAGACAACATCGTGTGAAAGAGGATCACTGGTAACAGTTTTATGCACTATAAGTGCGTCTGGTACCACTATTTCCCCATTTTTAATTTTTCCGAGGGTTAGGATCCAGGATTATATGACAAGAGAACTTCCCATTGGTGCCGATGCTGATGGCGTTTGAAAAATATTTATTGCACTTCATCAAGTATTCTCGAGTCAACGAGAATCACAAGTGTCTGCTGATACTCGACAATCATGATAGCCATATTTCCACAAAAAGACTTAACATTTGTAAAGAACATGGAATAATACTACTCACCATTCCACCTCATACTAGCCATAAGTTACAGCCCTTGGACACTAACGGAAATTACAGACCGGCCAGATCCATCTGAAGCTTTACAAGCTACAGAAAATTTACTTTTAGCTGTCCCTAGTACTTCTCAAAATATTCCAAATGCATTTGTAAGCACTGAAGTTATAGTTGCCATTTCCGAAAGCACTTCCACGTAAAAAGAAAGCTGAAAGGAAATGTGGAAAAACACGGATTTTAACGGACACCCCCGAAAAAGACCAAATACAAAAATAATTTGAGGAAAGAGCAAAGAAAAAGGAAGAGCAAAATAAAAAAGAGAGAAAGGGCGAAAAGATTAAAAAAAAATTGGTTTCAGAAGATGAAAAACAGGTGCCCGTTAAACAAAATAAGATTGGGATAGCCATGGAGGAATCTGAACAATCTAACGATTCTTTCAACTTTTCGAGTTCTGATGAGTTAATCGATATCGAGGAACAGATTGAAAAAGAAAATGCTGAAGAGAGCTTTATGAATCAAGAAGTTTGTAAGGATGACTATATTCTTGTACGATTTTCTACCAAAAAAACTTTCCGACATTACGTTGCTAAAGTCATAAATATTAATGGCAACGATTACGACTTATTATGCATGAGACTAAAGCCTCCAGGATACACATTTATTTTTCCCGATGTTGCCGATGAATGTTGCGCACCTAGGGACGCTCTGGTTAAGTTACCAAACCCCTCCTTTACTGGAGGAACAGCAAGGGCACATAGGGCCCTTTCTTTTCCAGTCGATTTTTCCGAATATGAAAATTTATTCTACGTTTTTTTGGCAAATATTTTTATGACTGCTGTATTCTTTTATTTTTTTCAAGTGCCCATGTGTATTTTTTTTTGTTAATTATTATTATTATTGCAGGAAAGGGTTAAACAATTTGTTAACTGTCTTTAATAAATTTGCTTTAACTTGTGACTTTATTGTTACCTACTACTACTACTACTCTTGTCTCAAACCTCCCTACGCTTGCCTCAAACCTTCCTTTGCTTGTCTCAAGCCTCCTTTCATAAAGGAGGTTTGAGACAAGTGCATGTGGTACTTATCAATTATTTTTTTGCTTAAATAACATTTTTTTAAATCAAATAAAAAAAATCTTGCTATTGTGTTAAAAAATTAAAACCAATAGTTAATCAATATGTAAAAACTTTATGCGATTACTAAAACATAACAGAAAACCAGGTCTCTGAAAAAAAAAAGTGGCTCAAACCTCCCCAGTCTCCCCTATTGTAATTTTTATATTTTTGAAAAATATGCTAATTTCGGCCCATCCTAATGCACAATAATTGAGATACCGAATGTATTACATTTGGTTGTTCCATCCTGTATTTCTTTTGTGAACAACAATGAACCCATCTCTGACATAAAATATTTAACCACTACCTTTCTTGTCGAATCACACAGTATGTATTAGAAATTGTTCTAAAATAATCTAAATTAATTATTATGTAAATAAATTGAATTCAAAAAAATTTAGAAGCATTGGTCTACGTCGAAAAGGTCGTTGCAGTATACAGGATTTAAAAAAAAAATAAATATATGTAGAATTATGGCGGATAAATTAGAAATGTTACTGTCAAAAATTGAACGTGTCATTTGGATTAATCAATCATGTTATTTTCGAAATTATTAACAATTTTAGTTAAAAATAACTAATAAATATATTAATTAATCAAAATGACATTGATAGTTTCTACACGCTTTTTTAAGTATGTCTAATTTTAAAATCCCAATTAAAACACTGCCAATATTTTCACTTCTGGTTTTTCGTTTGTAACGAACTTTAATAAAACTCAATTTGAGTTGACCGAATATTCATATAAAACTATTAAGAATGTTAGTTTATTCATTGTGTTTTTAATAAAGTTCTACAATCAAACATTTAGTGAACTAGACTCAGCAAAAAGTGTCAAATTCATAATCGATGTATCATTTAAAATAATTACAAAAATACCATGCCAATTTTAGCTTGCAATCTATTTGAGTAAAGTTTCAGTACGTTTAACTGTTTTAATTTAATATAGACTCCCTAAAAGTTTTCCCTCCGGCGCCTATGCACCAGTGATTGGCTAGCTCTTTTTATAATATGCTGTATTGCTCATTAAAACAAATATTTTTCGAAAATTGTGAATATTATCGAGTCTTAGCAAGAATTTTTAATTCAGTAATGCAGAAATTTGAAATATCCAATTATTAATAAACCCCTATTCTACGCCTATGATTGGATGTGATTTATTAATTTTGTTTGGATATTTAGATGTTTTAGAATCATATCAACGAAAATTTCCACAAAAACGAAATTAAATTTTCAGAACCGTATAGCGTCTAAGCGTATCTATGTTGGTAAATTTATTTAAATCGTTTTATTTTTGATCCAAGAATATGTGGTGGAATCTTTGATTTGTCATTTTCGTGAAATACGAGTTTTTCGACATTTTAAATCGGAAATTACCGGGCCTCTACTGTATCACTTTAAATGAGCAATTTTATTCAATTTATCACCGATCTTTTAATAATAGACGATCACAAAATTTGAGCTTTGATTTAGAATAAAACACACCAATAACTGTTTGACAACTAGAACAATTAACATACAGACATTATTTAGACACTTAATTGACGTTTACTTCTTTACCGATAAGAAACGCCTAATGTCAATTGGTAAATTGTGACATATATCTGTCAACTATCACGTAACTTTTCCTTATTCTAAATTGTTTCTTTTTTTTTTAATATAAAAAGCAACTTTATGTAAAAACACAGTGTATACGTTTTTTTTATAACTATCCAAATAAAAAATTAAATTTCCCTTAAATCTAGTGATGTGTTTTAAAAATGGTACAGTTTTGAAGAATTAGACTATAAAAATGCATTGAAAAATTTCATACTGAAGTGCTAAATTACTATTGGTACGGAATACTGTTATAGTACTTTTAGTTAGGTCAATAGTCTGAATATTTCCAGTCCGGTAAAAAATCCTGGATGAAAATTAGGGGGTACCTATGCAAAATCAAGCTACTATTTGTTATCCAATTCAAATAGTCTGTAGTTATTTATTATATATCCAATAGTTATGGTCAACCCTGTATATTATTTATTTTATATTACAAATAATTTAAATATGATACAAAATACGGGGCATTATGTGCCTCTTTCATTGATTTTTTCCAAATCTTGGGAAATGAGTAAAATCGATCTGGCAAGAACGCATCGCATGAATCCGTGTAAATATGTCCAATAATTTCCCAGAAATTTGACATTAAATGGCAAATCCGCTTTTCCAGTACACACGTTCAGATTGATAGATTCCTTAGACAGATAACAGCGAGGTTACCTTCTGTTATTAAAGTAGGGTAAACAACCTAATAGTATTGCCAACCTAATAGTTTTTCTTTTTATGAATATCATAGCGTCTTTGAATCTAGTGCACGGCTTGCATTGAGTGCATACGAAAGGTGGGAGATATGTAAATACCAGTTACTTTTCAATTTGAAATGTAACCGGTATCGATATATTGCTCATCTTTTATGTGCACGCTATTAAAGTCTAAACTATTTTGAACTATCGATTACTTTTAGATCTATTCTTCTTTTTAAGCTTTTTATGGGTCATTCTTTGATATCTTGTCTTCTTATTCTTGCATTCTCCTCTTGAATTTTTTTCTATCTAGTTTTTAATTTCAATATTTACGAAACAGATTAAAAAAAAATACTTTTTTAAAATTTCTTTGATTTTACAGTCGCTAATGCTTCGACTATTTGTAAGAGCATGTTTTTGCCCCATACGTCTCTTTCGCTTAGGATATTTTTCATTACTATTCGATACCACTTCAACAAGCTTAATTTGTTATATCCTACAATTTTCCACTTCTTTCTTTTTTATTGCTTTATCCCGGTAATTTAGACTATCTACCTCCCTTATGGACTTTTTTTATTCGTTTAAAGGTTTGCTTATCCATAACTGATTTCAGCAGGTCTATAAATTTACTTTTCTTATTTAGAAAGAATAAAAACTAAACCATTAAAATGTGTTACGCCATAAGTAGATTCTTTAGCATAATACTCCGCAATTTTCATCAAGATTTTTCCCACTTTTTTTTCATCTATTGCCCGAACTACTACCCTGCATAAAATTCAATTTTTTTTTACCGATTTTGCATCAATTTAATACGCAGCATGAAATACGCTATTACTCTAAGAAAGACAAACAGTCCGGACAGTACACCCACGTCTATGAAGTAAGTCGTTATGTTGCCGTCCATTGACATATTTTCCAAAAACGTTTTGGGATACTTAAAATGACAGTACTCTATGCTACAATTCAACTTTGGTCTGTCCAAACCGTATATGGCTATCATGAAAGCTTCGAAACCGTATTTAAGGTAACTCAAATACGGCAGCCATCTTATGTAGAACGGAATGTCGTTTAAATTGGAGAAAAATCCAGAAAATAGTACCATCGGAATGGTAGAAATTGGTCCTAGGAATACTCCTCCCTGCAAAAGATTTTTGTTAGAAACGGTTATGTTCAGAGAGCTGTTATCCAATCAAAAGGCGACAGTGGAAGTGGAAAACTGGTCTAAAACTTAACAACCCTGAATTCAATATAGTGTTTTGTGATACAGTTCTGTAATACAATAAAATTGTAAAAGATCGATAAATGTTTAATATGTTATACTTACTATGGAAACTTCGCTATCTTGAAAATGTTGGTAATAGATTTATCTCGATTCCTATTGACTGAAGTAAAAAGTTTGTTTTGTCGCAGGCCAAATTCTCTTTAGTCTGTTCCCAAAAAGGATAGAAGGCACTAAAGTTACTGAAAATCAGTTTTTCCGCATTTTAACTTCTGATTTTTAGTAAATTTGGCGCTTTCTATCTTCTTGGGGACAAACTACATATCGTTCGACTCGCCATAAGTAATATTTGCAAATTAAGAGCTCTACAATTTTGTTATAACCCTTTTTTTGTCCGCCAATAAGAATCAAGATAAATCTACAAAACGTTCTTTTAAGGTGGCGGAATTTCCATAGCAAATTGGGACACGCCAATTTGGGATTTTACCTTTTAGACTACCAGAAACTACATATATCAAAAATTCAGGATGATTAAATATTATAGAATTCGAATTACGTGTATATTTTGTAGTTACCTCTATATTAAAAGCTGCACCTATGAGCAATCCAAAACTTTGAGACACTAGCGCCACTAAAACGGCAACCAGCAATATCATACCAAATCTGGTGACATCCAATGGCTGAGACGTAATAAAGTAGACACCAATAATAAAGCATAAAGTCATGACAATCTGAAAAAAAAAATAGTACATAGTATATAAAAAAAAGATAAATATTTAGAGTAACTTACTTGAAACGGTATATCCGCTAGTGTTTTGGCCATGTAGTACGCCTTCAGTGAATACCAGTAGTTCAAATGCTCTCTAACAATAACAGACATTTCTAGTGGAACTGAAAATAAAAATAACTAATTTGAAACAAATTTCTTTGGGTAGCTACTTGGAGTACGCGGGTTAGTAGCGTGAATCGGGCGAACAGTTAGGTCCACTTGGGTCTTATCATCAGAGTGGTAGAAGCCCACCAAATGCCTGCTTCTTGTATGTCATAAGAGCCAACTAAAATGAGAGCATCTAGAGACACTTCTCGGCGATGTTATGAACAGCAGGCTGTTTGACGAGCTGAGAGATAGTTCCAATATTCCGAGGATGCACAAAATTGACCTAAGTGATGTGGGGCAATACATATCAAAAAATACGGGGCATAGTAATGGATATGAGAATCTGTGAGAACAGTAAAATGTTTAGGAAGTTGAGGCGAATACGAGTATTAATACTTGGGATAGTACTTACAGCTCGGCTATGAAAATAGAAGGGAAGGGGAGCTTGTACATAATACTAGATACGGGCGTAATAACAGCAGCCCCTGTTTAGCGTCAGTATTCATCGAATTTGCACAGGATATTGCTGAGAGTTGTTTTGATAAGCTAACTATTCGTTGAAATGCGGTAAATGAGGTAAAACGTGTGATTTTTTAATTGCCAAGGAAGTGTAAACTTAAGATGATTTTTGGCAGTCATTTAGGAATAGAGTAATTAATTGAGTTGTTCTTGGTAGCTTCTTATTCTGACATAGAAAGGTTTAGAATGTTCCAAGACTAGATGAGTATAAAATCTATGGGCATTAAACAATTAATTATCTAAGGTGGGATTATTGTAGACATAGGCGAGGCTTATTTAGTCTTCTGTACTTCAAAGGTAAAGGCTTTCAACTGGAGTTGAACGTAATACTCATGTGATTATTCGAAGTGCTGTGTTGTGAAAGTGTTCAGAGGTGCAGTTAAAAATTTTAGACGCTAATGTGTAGATAATCGAACTTTAGTCCAATTTTGACCGTATTATTGTTCGGTATAAACTAAGTATTGTCTGGCGATCTGCTCTCCAGTCTTTGTTTGCTAGCATTTTTAGAAAATCAAGTCTTTTGTGACAAGAGAAGACTAGATTTTTAATGTGAAGATTCCATGTTAATGAGGGAGTCAAAGATCACTCTCAGAAACTTTGTGGATCATTCAGAATTAACATTGATTGTGAAGTGCTAGTAGAAAAGGTAAAGCCAGTTTACTGTGACCAAGTCTCCAGTTGATTAAAATTGTTGGGTATGAGCAGTGTTGCCAACCGGAGGGAAATTTCCCGTTTTGCGGGAATTTTCAATACAAAAGGGAAAAATTTAACTCAAAACGGGAATTTTTTACTTCAGTCCTAATTGTGAAAAATGTATGATTTTAAAAATAAATATAATTAAAATTGTTAATTCTTTGAAATATTTTTAAAGTTTTGTTAAAAGATTTATGTTTTTTAGATTATACTTTGTTATATACCTTCGTTTTTCTTTTAATAAATATATTTTGGAAAATATGTAGATGCTTGTATTTCTGATATAAAACCGATTTTATTAACGGGAGGGAATTTTTTTATAAAAGTGGGAATTTTTAAGGTAAGAAGAGGGAAAAGTATACTTCAAGGTTGGCAACACTGGGTATGAGAAATAATATTGTTTGTTTTCTTTTGCAAAATACGACTAAGTCATTTGAATGGTGGTTTAAAGCCGTTCAGGATATTAATAATAGCTACAATTAAGAGAGTGGGATTTATCGTAAAACCTTGGAGGAAGCCGATTTCAAGTGTCACCTCATTGGAGAAAATGGCGCTGGCTTTCATTTTAAAAGATATGTTTGTCAAAAAGTTTTTAACAAAGAAGAGGCAAGGGGCAGAAGCCAGTGAAATTGTTATTTTCGTGTAAATAAATGGATTTTAATCAAATATTATTATGGAGAATTTACATGAGGTGGAGGAAGAGTTAACAGCTAATTGAAATTGTGGTTTTTATTCTTGTGATAATAAAACATTTATTATAAGAAAGATGAATATAACAGTTTACAAAACTGTATGCCCGTAAACAGTAAACATACTGGGTGACAATGAGAATACCATGTGACAACGAGACTCTAATGCGCATACGATTTGTAGTTGGAAATGGTTGCTGATCGTTCTACGAACAAAGCTTTTATCTCTTTTATTTATTTAGCGATTTGGATTAAATTTATAACAAACATACTAGACATGATTTCCAATTGACACCACCGAACATGTTAACACTTATACTTAAACAAAATGGGCAACTTCCGGTTTTTCTGTACCTCGGAAGTAAACTGCACTATGTGATTCTAATTAACTTTTCAGTAGAGCAGATTGAATGTTGTGTGGACATTTTTTGGGCTCCATAATTACATATTATCGACAAGAAATAATAAAACTTCTTATATTTTTATTTGCATAAATTGTTGGTTTTTATGACAGATTTCTACGTTCTAATTTACCATGAATTAAAAACACCTATGTATTACGAGGTAAGCAACGCCATGTGTTTACTTCATAATTTTTTTGGCTAACTTTTTAAATTAATATATCTCCTTTTTAAAAATTATTTTGATATTTATTTGATGTACTAACACAATTCGCATTATAATTTTCTGTTATAATTCAGGTATTGTATTTGACATATTAATTCATTTAGTACCCCACTCTGTCACCTTATTAGTTAGATTTTTAAACGGACCATCTTGAATATTTCGTTTTTTGGAATTTATTTTTCCTATTTTTTTTTTTTTTTTTAATATAGGTCATAAATTGGAAAAAAATGTTCTAAGTAGTGGATATTGCATATTGTCAGATTGGTAATAAAATTATCTATCTATAGACAAATTGATCCCCAATAAGTGCCATTTAAATGGAGATTTTGGTAAAAAAACAAGTTTTACAAATTTATTTTTCATCCGAAGGATTTGTTTTTAACTCAATTGATAAAATAAGCTTTTATTGACTTAAAATTCTCTACATACAGAGATATCTGAGAGTTTTGACAGCACAACATCAAAGTAATAATTAATTGTATGAAATACTCATGTATTTTAATTAAAAATAGACTAATCTTAATAAAAATAACTGTTTTAATGTATAAAATTCGTCCAAATATTTATAAAAGGTGTGCAGCTAATTAATGTTTATTTAAGGAGAAAATCTATTTAAAATGTGTTTATGAAATAAAATGGTTCTGGCTGGCACTTTGGTAAATCGATATATTATCGACTGTTAACTGTCTTCAATTTTAACGACAGTAATTCTGTTTATTTTAGTTTCAACAGTCAAAATAAGCCACAACATTTTTATAGAAAGGTGGATCAAATAAAAAGTGTTCTTTACTGAAATAAATTAGAGAATAGCTACTCAAAAATCTTATAAATTGCAAATTTGAATATACGGTAAAACAAAAATCGTATTATTGAATTTTTTTTTTTAATACGTTATACATGATGTTTTGAGGCTGAATTAATTTTGTCAATCCTAATGCGGACCTGGATTTCTTTATGAAAAACAATTTTATATATATTTTATAAATTTATATAACGATATATCGCGCGATATTGCGGCTAAAGCTATAAACTTAAAAATATTACTATTACTATTTTCTCTTGGACGATTTTGTAAAAAAAAACTCAAAATTGTCATATTCTTTTTTTCTCCAAAGTTACAATAATTTTTATAAAAAAAATACACTTACACGTTAAAATTGTTGGCATCATTGCGGTATACATCATAAACATCACACAGAAAAATAAGCACCCTGCGTTACTCATAACTTTGGCAGCATCTTGTCCTATGTCGTAATATATTAGGCCTATAAGACAACCTATCACAAAATGAGATACCAATCTCATACGAGTCAAAGTCTTGTCCATCAATATCATGTACATACTTCTTTTGAGTAAAATTGCGAATTGTTGAAAACCAGTTGTTGAAAATCCTATAAAAAAGAAGTTAATTTGTATAAATTATCACTCATAATAATTTGTATTATGTTTAGTTGATTGATAATAGTCGATAATCATAATACTATATCATATGATTTAAAAGTGTCTGAGTTACGTCGGGAATTGGAAGATCGTGAGTTGGAGATGACAGGGAAGAAAGCAGAGCTAACAGAGCGGCTTAAAGAAGGAATAGAAAGTGTAGGTTTGGATCCTGAAACGTATCTATTCTCTAGGATGATGCTTCTTCTATAATTTCTTCCGATATAAAAAACACGAACTTTCTCCCTTCTGATATATCTTCTTTAAATAATAAAATTTCTACCGACTTGGAAAGTAAAATGTCTTCAATAGAAAATAGATGTTCATCTTTCTTAGAAGAAAAGGTGTTTCTAAAGACAAAACATCTTCCAAACCTAACCTTAATGTAAAGGGATTATACAAACCGAGTCATGTAAAATTTTAGGCATGGTATGTGATTTCGAATTGACAGTATAGATCTTTAACTAAAGGGTAGCCAATAAAACGAATCTTTGGTAAAAAGTGGAGTTAGGCCATTTGCATCTTAGGCCGACGTTATGTCTCTTTAAATTCAGTGTTAGAAAAACTATTTGACTGATAATTACACTTGGTACTATTAAAGTTATACGGAATAATAATTAAAAGAAATATGTTAATAAATAAAATATAAAAAAAAATTCTATTTTAACATTGCGTTAACCTACAAATATGAAATCGTTACGCCACTGATTTATCTCTTTAACAATATGGCGCTAACTATGACACGATCAGACATACCGCTATGAAGTAGCTGTACTTTTCTCTAATGGAATAGACTTTATCTAATCATGAGAAACTTACCATTTTTTTCTGAAGGTGATAAGTTTTCCGACGAGTCTAACAGCGATGTTGTGCATGTAACTGGCGTTGAAGGTGACGGGTGTTTCACAGATCCATTTGGCACAGAAATTATCTCACCACTAGTGTTTTTACAACTTCCAGTATCTTTGACGATATCATTGGAAACTAGTTTGCTATTTCTATGGTCCGGAGTGTTGCCGTACATGTTGCAACGGCCCGCGTTTACAGCCACTACTAATTTTTGCACGTACTCTCCATGTTCACCACAGGCTACTTCCATTACTGAAATTCAGTACATTATTATCAATCAAAAAAATAATACGTCATTAAATAGCAAAAAATAAACTTTTAAATTAAAAATAGCTTTTTAAAAAATTGAATTAGTCAAAAATCTACAAACTATGATTTTGTCTACAAGAATAGTAAATACATAATGATCTCAAAAGTGAACAAACTAGATAAAATGATAAAAGTCCTGTCAGCGATTTCTTGGAAGCTAGAAACTCGGATAATGCCAACATCTGCAGTATCGTGAAGTCACTGTTAGTAAGGCTGATATAATTATCAAGACCTCTAAATACATTTATTAGGACTTTAAAGTTAAGCGCTTCCCCAAAAATCTGTGTTTAGCACGAGATTCTAAATACAACCATTTGAATGATAATTCAGGACATTACAACCAATAAGAAAAATTAAAACTCATTAAATAGCAAGACCTCCAAATATATTTTTTGGGATTTATATGACTATTTGAAATAACAAATTTCATTATATTTTCGAAAAAACGGAAGGTCTGACAATAACGTAAATTGAAGATCGACCCTCCCAATGAGCACATACTCGTTTTTTCCAACGTAAATTTAACGTTTTAAGGTATAAAAAACGTTTTTGGTTGAAAATTCAATGTTGATATTTTAGTTGATTTGTTATACATACATAAAATACTATTTTCTAACGTATTTTTCAACAGAATATTGAAAATTTGATAAAATAATAACGTTTTCTATAACGTTTGGTTGCAAATAATGTTATTTTCAGCGACATTTGAACTATTTATATACGTTTGGTTATTTACCAGTTTTCCACGTTTTTTATACGTACATGTGCTCTTTGGGCTATTACTCGACCACCAAAAACCAAATTTCATGAATGTCATAAAAGCCATTTCCGAAATAACTGAAGCGATCCCTATATTAGCCTCACTCTGTATTTAAATTAAATATTCTTACCATAATCAGCAGGATTGTGATAGCTGGGACAATTGAGCCCCATACCAGATAAAAACGGCACCAACGACAATACGGGTCCCCTATAAATGCATTGCCCTTCGGCCATCATATACAGGTGATCGAACATTTCGAAAAGTCGAGCAGAAGGTTGATGTATTGTACAAATAATCGTTCTACCTCCTCCGGCAAGAGATTTAAGCAAACATAAACATTGAAAACACGACGAGCTGTCCAAGCCACTGGTCGGTTCATCGAAGAACATAACAGGTGGATTATTAACCATCTCCAAACCGATGGATAGCCTCTTTCGTTGCCCTCCGGAGAGTTTGGCGGAGTTAATATCGATGCAGGTTTGCAGTCCAAGGTTTTCGATGATTTCGTTGATAACTATTTTCTTTTCCGACAACGTGACGCTTTTGCCTAGCTTGAGATTTGCGGCTACCAACATGGCTTCTTTAACTGTAAGATGGGGAGAGAGACAATCGTCTTGCATAATGTAACAGGACATTTTTCGGAAACGCCGCAAGTTGCGTTGTTTTCCGTTTATCGTTACTTGACCGCTGAGATTGGACGTTCTGAAACCAATAAAAAGTTGAATTCATATTTTCGTTATTGTTTAAATTTATTAGAATGGTCTTAGCGAATTTTAAAATATTGATTATGTTTAAAAAAAAATAGAATAATGGGAATTAATTACAGAGGACAATAGAAGGAAAAATAGACGAGTATTTGAGTGTATATAATTACTTTAATAATATTAGGACTTGTACATTTCATTATCCAATTATACCATTAGTACGTAATTGTTCAATATTTCAATTTGTATTATAGGCACACAAACAAGTTTCAAATAAAAGTTATTTTGTGGTCTTAAATAAATACAATATTGAAAATAATAGAAACAAAATGTTAATGAATACCTTACCTACCTTCTATTTTTACAAGTCTACTGTCATTGGGGTCTATTCTGTAACAATTCCTTTATATTTAACGGCCTTTAAAAATAGTTTCGTATTCGTTAATTTACTTCTATCATTATTTAAACAGATTTCTTTAAGATAGTCCTCTAATGTATTTTAAAGATCCGTTTAAATAATAACAGAAGTAAAGGAGAAAATATTTTTAAAGGCCGTTAAATATAAAGGAATTGTTACAGAATAGACCCCATAGTCAGTTAAATACAAATTATGTCATCACATTAGTGATGACGTAATTAATAGCGTAATGTATTTCGCAATAACTTACTTGTATCCAGCCAGAATGTTCATGAGCGTACTTTTTCCGGCGCCGGACGGGCCCATAATGCCCGTCAATTCGCCCGACTTGCATTTCCCGCTAATGCACTTTAAAATAGTTTTGTAGCCCCTTTTTCGTCCTTCCGACACGGAATAGGACAAATCATTGAAGGTAATATCCACCGCAGGTCTTTTGGGCAGATGCGTCAGTGATATCATCGGTCGTTTATGATTGTTGCTGGGACTGCTATTTGGCACTTTTCTAAGGGCGCCGCCGCCGCCGCTAATGGTAACTGTGGATGAGCCATTGTATATATTAGTCTGTGAGCCACTGGAACAAAAGAAAAAAAATGTTAAATTAAATCCGATAAGCACGGTCATTTTGTTAGGCATTATAGCTACCAACGACAAAAAAACTACTAGACTAATTTTGTTTACAAAAATCAAATTACAAATTTCATGATATTAATCAGGTTGTTGTCAAATTATTATGAGAGAGTATAAAAGAGTATTGATATAATTTGATAATTACTAAACATAAGACTAAAGCGCATAAAAAGCTTTGAAAATTACATTAGGGAAATATATTTGCATTCTTAATGTCCGTTTTTATCAAGGGCAATATACCAAGACCTTGATAATAATCAGCTATTTTTGTTGAATCGAAATCTCGATAATATTTTAATATCAATTTGATGAGACATAATTTTTGTCATTAACAACCCCGAGAGCTTCAGTTCGATGGCTTTAATCAATTAATTATTATTGCCAAAATTATGTAGAATCAAATTGTAAAATGTTCGAGAAATTTGACAACAATAAAAATGGCAGAATATTAATCAAGGTCGTGTTATATTTGGAATGACTATTTCACTAGACCAAATATTGACTATTTCTCTAGAGAAATATTCGCTGATATTTGGTCTAGGGAGATAGCCAACGCTAATATACCAAGATCTTGATAATAGTCAGCTATTTTTGTAGAATATTTTAATATCAATTTGATGAGACATAATTTTAGGAATTAATAATCAATTGATTATTATTGCCAAAATTATGTAATTTTGAAGTGTGACAGCCGTGTACAGCAAGCGTAGTAGACGTAAATACTGATTCACTGATAAAACTAATGCTCACTCCTCAGATAAACCTATTCACTCAAATTAGCAGCTGTCCTTTCTAATGCGACAACCGATGTGACAGATTTGTCTGCGTTCCTAATAATGAACACATCTGAATGGTTGCAATAAGAAGGGTTTAATAATTAATGAATGGATTATGCTAATAGTTTTTCGTCGTTTATAATTAATTTATATGGCACCACCCGTACTCCTGAGGTACCCTTTCTGACAATTCATAGAAATCGGACAACGTGATAAAGAATTATCGCTGAACATACTTTCATGAGAGCGATTTTAGACCAGTCGGGCAATGCTCGAATCTCCTAAGTTCCTTTCTGTCTTTTTTGGATCTTCTATGGCCTTCGCTTTTCCCGTTATTAGGAATATTCGAGGGTGGGGGGTACCCTTGATACGTCTATGGTTCGTTATTGTCGGTCAAGAAGTCAAGAGAGTCGTCCAGTCTACTAAGCGATATTTCTAGACAGTACCGGATGCGGTGCCGAGTCTTAGTCTAGCATATCTGGAATTTTCGGGAAACGTCACCTTTATATATAAATAGACTAGTTCCTCTCTTTTTTTTTCTTCCTTTTTTATGTTTTTCCTGAGACATCCCATATTATATGATTTTTGACTTATTTTTGTCTAACCTTTAAAATTAATAAGGGTGAATAGTTTTCATTGAAATTAAATACGGAGTTTGGGGGGTCATCAGATTACCATTTAAATTGTCAAAAGGTCACGTGGTTTGGAATGTCTAATACAGTATTTTGTTTTCTTCTTTTAATTTAATGGTCATATATTGTCAAAATAAAGCAAATAAAGCTAAATTTAAGCACAAATACGGAGAAGCACTATTTATTAATTATGGTTTGGATTATTAAAAATTTCAAGTACACAATTACATGCTTATATGTCCTTAATGTTGTTTAAACTTTGTCCAATTGTTCAATAACTCTCCATTTTGTTAATAGGTACGTCGTTAATTTGAGTGAATATAATGCCACTATTATAAATAAATTACCCATTGTAAATATTATGAATTTACTTTCGTATATCTACAAATTATGTTCACACAGTAGGTACTTAAAAAAATTGTTTGCGCTAATATTTAATATTGATATTCTTAGGGAAACAGTAAAAACATTTTTGTCAAAAATATTTTCTCATTACTTCCAAACCGATTGTCACAAAATCTAATTGCAATAAATTAACATGATTGTAAAAGAGAGAAAATAAATTACCTATCATATTTATTTGACATAAATATTTACTAAAGACTTACCAGAATGAACACGATGTCTCATTTAGATAAAATTTACATTTTTTGCTTTAAAATATTATTTTCGAGTGTAATAAAATTATATTTAATAGTAGGTATTTAAAACAAAACTAAGATAAACGTATTCAACAAAACTATGCGAAACTAAACAGATTAGGGTTAAAATGGGGTTAGATTAGATACCACATCTTATGTATGGCATAAGACTCATATTTGCCTAAGGTTGGCGGTATATCCTATCTCCTAATTAACTCCAAATATATTATTTCTTGTTAAAAATACAAGTACAGATCGACCTCTTAGTAATTTCTAATACATTTTTCAACTTGATAAGTCAACAAACAGCACTGAATGATTTAAATACAAGCGGATTTAAAAGTCAATAAAAGATAAAAAAAAAAAAAATAGTAATTGCCACTGATATTAACGAAAAACAGAAATTAATATAATGGAAAAAAAATTGAGAAAAGGACAATAATTATATTCATTCTGAATATGGCTAGTCTAATACCTAGGTGCTTTTTTCCCTACTATGGGTAATCTTGGTAGACGACCTTCTTCAAAAACAAAGTGCACAACTATATAGTGTAAACATGGTACAAAAAGAACAAATTATTGAATAATCAGACACAGAATAAAACAATAAGACAGAAAGTATGTTGCTTGTCCAACTGAAGTTGGATATATTGAAACATCTTGGAGACTGTGATTGGGGTTGGGTATGGATAAAACGATCAAAACAAGATCTCAGATGAAATGGGATGACGATCTTATTAAAACTGGAAATTAACGATGAAAACCGGTGAATAGAACTAATTGAATTAAAATAGGGAGGCATATATCCAAGGTTGGAAGAGTTCCAAAGGTTACAGAACATATTTATTGCGATTTTATGAAATTATAATAAATAATAAAGTACTTAGGTACAGCTAGTAAATTATTAAACATTTTTGCTATTGTTAATACTTTGAAAACGTTTATTAAATTATTATGCTAATGATATAGATAAAGAAATGATTAATTTTTTTGCATTTAAACATGCTTTGTTTTTGCTGAATGTTATTAGACGACGAATACAAAAACAAGTTCATTTGTATCTACTAAATAATGCGGTTGCCGGTAGGTATATCTGCACCCAGAGTGTAAACAACCTATTATCATGATAAAAAATTAATAATAAATCATAAAGTTAATGTCAGTATTCAACGTGTTTCAAGCTAGATTAACTTCCGATTGCATTTTGAGACGTTCGAGGGATTCAAGAAATTCCCGCCAAGGGGCGATTCCCGACTCGTAGGAATTTTTTACTATAGAATTTTTTTATAAATCGGAAATTTATGATATTTTCCTACACATAGGAAAGTGTCACCTACAAGTCGAGAATCGATTCCCAGATGTATTGTATTTGGAATTCGGTATAAATTTACTACTCGCTAAAAACGGTTGAAGTGTAATATTTAAAAATCTATTTTCACTTCTTATTAATTTTATATCGTACATAAGAAAAGGAAAAACGTTAGAAAAAATCGAAGAGAGGTCCTTAAATGGCATTAAATTAGGTCCGTTTTAACCAAACGTAAATCAAATAACAAACACAGCCGGTTGGTCAGCTTCTTCAAATATATTTTTTACTTTTTATAATAGACCACTTGCAGAGCCAAATGATGCTTTTGCAAAAATAGTATTACATATTAACAATATTTCGTAAATTATTGTTATTATCTTTATATTCTTTTTGTTTGTTATATTAAAACTGATGTTTGACATTTTACAAATTAGTTGTACATCTAATTGTTTACTATTTAAATTTATCTCCATACATTAGTTTAATACTAGGTCTGATTAAATTGATTTATATCAAAATCGCATTTTACTCTAAACATCTACAAGGTTGTAATTATATCAAGGACAAGCGAAGCAAAATTTAAGGATTAATTGACTTGTCTGTAAGGAAAATTGATCCTAATTTTCCCTCTTGGATCAATTTTCCTTATAGGTAAATCAATTAATCCTTAAATCTAACAATATATATCAAAAATGTTATTTATTTTACCTTAAAACAGAAGCATTGTTGAGAGATTCGTTGTCTTTGAGAGATGGTGAACAAACGGTTCTGGTATACGCCACTGCTTGATTTGGATCGTCTGCATCTACAGGCAAATTGATCTTTATACATTTTGAATCGTCCGCCATCTTCTACGTTTTGTCATAGATTCGTCCGGTTACGAATCAATTCAAGAACTTTTGATGAATCTGTAACAAAAACAGTTCATAAAACTCAAAGTTTTGACCCATCATTTTCTTACTTTAATATAAAGTAAACAATGGCTGGAAAATTAAAAATTTGATTTAAATTTTTTGTCTTCGGATTTAAAAATAAAAGTAAAACAAATTTACAATTATTTATCGTTCTCTGATATCTAAATATTTAAGACAGATAGATAAAATAATACATATTTTAGGAAAATAAATAAGACAGTTAAAAACTAATAAAACTATTATTGTATGACACTATATAAGGGGTGACAATTTAAAAAATTGAACAAGAAAATAATACAGAAATCAACCCCATCAACTTTCTATGCGCCACATACCTAAAAAAAAAAATAGCAACCCACAACTTGTCATGAATCATTGGAAACCTAGTAAAAAATGCTTTTTCGAAATATAAATTATAGAGGGTAGTCTAATAGTACCTATATAATAATTAAAACCCTATTTAAACAACTTAAACAATGTACATAAGCAGCATGAAGCGAAGTCAAGCTTACGCTACTGAGCTTAATCTCATTTTAAATATAAAGTAAAATTAATCAAAAACTATCCAATATTTACAATATAATATGCAAAAAATGTGAAATTTAAAAAATAATTTATTTAAATATTTAAATCTAAAATGAAATCAATTTCTAATTCCAATATTTTCAAAATGCAAAAAAAAATGTATGGAATTTAAAATAGTTGAATCCGGAAATAATAATATGTAGTATGGAATGTGTGAAAAATATTATCATTTGTCATTGAGCCAACAATTATGTATTTTAATCATTATGGCATAGTTTGTATGTTTAAAGGAATTCTTCTTTAAAAGATATTGCACATGGCAACTCTATCAGTAATCTTTATACATTCACGACTTGAAATTACTGCCTGTTATTTCCGAATTTAACTAGGTATAACTGAAGCCATTTGATATTTAAATATACTTATTTACAATATTGAGCCAGCTAAGTTTTTAATTTTAATTGATACTCCATGATATTTTCTAATACAAAATGACAACAAGAGTTTTGAATTTTTTTAAGATTTGGATCCAAACCAGGATAGTAATTTAGGATGGACTTTCACAGAGCATCTTACGTAGGTAACGTGAAACTCAAAATACCAAGTGATAACCAGATACAATTTTTGACTATAAACCCTGAAACTTTAGTTTGCAGCAGATAATGCCTAAATTTGTGGCACTACATGATTTTAGAAATTCATTTTGAATGAATAACTTGCGTTGTACATTATGATCTGTATTTATTGTAGGACAAAATAATATTATATGACATTAAGGTTATGATTCACAGAAAATGTACGGGGTGGACAAATTTTGATGTTTTAATAGTGAATCTCGTTAACTATAAATGATATGGAAAAATGCACTTCCCATCCTCGATCTCTTTTTTTGGGAAAAAATTAACTATTGTCTTTTGTTTTCTAGTCATAAACAAAAGTTGTTTTTTTAAAATTTTCATTATGTGGCATTATCTCGCTTAATTATGAAAGTGGATGAAAATAATTTATACCTTCTTTAGGCCCTTTTTGATAAGAATTCAGGGGCGTAGTAATTTTTTTTTTATTATTCGAGTTATAGCAATAGAGTTTATATTTTTTATATGGAACGGGTAGTTTCTAACAATATATATAATGTGTGGTCAGTTTATTCATTTTAATTGTTATTTAGCAAAAACTCATTATTTTCAAAATAATCTATAATACTGTTTTCTAGTAGGCGTCTGTCATTCAGAATATTTCTGACAGAAGTATCAGCATTTTTACAACACTGCTCATTTAATAACGTTTGATTGTTTATGATCATCTTAAAAGTGCAAAATGGCCTATGAAAATAGCGACGCGTTTGACATGTTAAAATGTTTTATTCAAAGTAATAATAATTCTGAAGTTTTAATATTGTATATTATTCCACAGCAATATTTTATTAAGGTATATTTGGTCCTATCGCCATATTTTGGTTCAAATAACCTGCTCTTAGCATATGTCCCAATTGTTATGAATCTATATGAATTCATATGAGTTTATGTTTGCAAAATCTCATTCACGTGGATCAAAGGAATCCTTGCGTCGTCAGCAAAAGAATATATATTTACATGCTCCAATAATTTATAAAGGTCTGAAATATAGATTGAAAACAAAAAGGGACAAGGACAGAACCTTGTGATTCTCCTGATGTTACACACGTGGGGTTAGACGATTTTTCTAACTTTACTTTTTGTAGTAGTTACTTAAATAAAATGTTCATATTTGAGTGCATAAAGAAGCTGATGATGTCAAACGCTTTTGAAAAGTCAAGCAGAATAATTGCCGTAGCCTTTTTCTTATCTGAATCTTATGACGTTATTTGGTAAATCTAAGAGCAATTTTGTAGTACCAATGGCAACCTACTTTGATAAATAAATACGCAATTAAATTAATTTGAAATTGTGTACTGAAGTTGAAAATGGCTTACCCTTTCACAGTTTTTAAAGTATACTTCACGTACCTAAGTGCTACTGTATGACTATTAATTATTTTCAAAAATAGGTGGATCACCCATGAACACTTTAGCACGATGTCTTTTAATTTAATTTTACAGAGCAGAACGATAATAACTTCAACGACCCATTTTTACTCTTTTTATCAATTATGAGCCAGCTAGCACTAAAAGACGATAAAGACACAATAATTTTTAAATAATGCATATACAAAGGTTTTTTTATATCATATCGGACGCTTTTTAATTGTCTGATAATTATGAAAAACGTGTCATCGTGAATTAATTTTTCAATGACCCATAAAATGCAAATGCGATTTTTATTATCAATAGATTTAATGAGAATACTTATCTGTAAAACGATTTCCTACGAATAAATATTATTTAATTAGTCGATTGTTTTATTTAAATTTTGCATTTTAATAGTCTTTTCTTTATCAACGTACTTAAATTTCATAGACAGGTAAAACAAGATGATATTAAAATCCAAAACGGGGCATCTATTGGATTTCTCGACGAATTAATATAGAATAGATTTTTATTTTACAGGTAGACAAAACAAATCATTGACTTAATAATATAATAATAAATCGTTTATTGTTTACCACATAAAATAAATATACATCACAGATAAATATTAAAGCCAATAATTAACGATTGTAAACAAAAGGAGTGGTGATAGGTCTACTGACCAGTTCTTCCTCACCATCCTTTAACAAAAAAAATACATATATAAATTATATTCCAATACATCTTCACCCTAACCAGACCATAATAATTGAAAAATGAGGATGAATTAAAATAGAAAAAGAAATAACAGTTATAAATTTAAAGTTAAGATACTATTAAGCAACTATTTTTTTTTTTTTTTTGAGAATTTTTGAATGCATTAATCGATAAAGAGAGAGTTAGTATATCCAAAAATAACCAGCTATTGAGATCTGATGTGTAAAGGCAGACTTGTATAACTCTTTGTTGTGAGGAGGAATAGCAATTTGATTTTTTGATTATGAAAGTCCTTTCTAAATTTAATTTTGTTGTACAAAAGTACGTAGGACTTTTCGTTTTTAAAATTTTATAGAAAAAGCAATTAAAGTGAAGCTTTCTACGGTTATACATACTTCGCCAACCTATTTCCTTCAGTTTATGAGAAATTCTGTTTCTTCTCCGAATGCCATAAATTATCGTAAGCATGAATTTTGAACTTTCTGAAAACGATATACATCCGATTTTCTGAGAAAAGGACCATAAACACTGTCACAATGAGTAAATTGTGAAAAAACTAATGAATCCGTTAATATCTTTTTTGTTTGAAAATTTAAAATCGATCGATAGTGATAAATTAATCTTAGCATAAGCTCTTTTTATTTTTTCTGATATGAAATGAAATTTAAAGTCAAAAAGTAGTCTTAAGTTTTTACAATTATTACTAAAAGCAAGAATGTCTGTACCTATATTAATCTGTTGTTGTTCCATAGCCAGCAACCTGTTTTTTTAATCCAAACAAAATGGCGCAAGATTTGTTGCGTTTATTTTTAATAAGTGTCTCTCTGATAATGACTCTAATTTTGATAAATTTTTATTAATTTGTATTTGTACTAAATTAATGTCAGAAAAATGAAACGAATAATACAATTATGTATCATCTGCGTAGAAATGGTAATTACAGTGAGACAAATAGGTATGAAAGTTAGAAGTGTACATGATGTATACCAGAGGGCCTAAAATACTTCCCTGTGGTACACCCTGCAACACTTGCAAACTCTTCGAAAAATCATTTTCGATTTTTACCTTTTGTTTTCTGTCTGAAAGAAATGAGTTCATTAAATTAATGGCAGTACTATTAAAACCTACATAATGTAAGTGTCAAAGGCACGGGAGTAATCAAGCCAAATTAAAACGCAAAGTTTATTGTTGTCGAGAGCAGAAACAATATCATCTGTAACTGCAGTTAATGGTGTAGAACGGCTATAACCGCTTCTAAAGCCTGATTGATTTAGTAATATTCTAGCAGTATCAAGATGACTTCTTATTTGACGTTCTAATATTATTTTCTCTAGTACTTTAGAGAATGTAGGAAAAATACTTATACTCTTTAAGTGACTAAACTCTAATAGCTTCGAGATTTTTGGTAGGGGTACCACATAAGCCTTTTTATCTAAACAATCTTTGAAATAGAGATAATCGATGTTGAAGAACTGAAATAATGTTTTTTTTTTTCTAATATTTACGTTATGGACAATGGACATCCGATCAATATCTTATTTTGTTAGCAATAAACGGAGGAATGACTTCTAATATTTTGTGGAGTAAAATTAGCGAGTGGAGCACACCTCTATTAGACATATTGAGCCAACGTGTATTTATTAATGCATGTGTGACGAGATCAACTTTTTTGATGTCGTATATTAGTCTTATGCAAGAATATTGTAAC